AAACGACGATTGTGTTGCATGCGCTTGTAAGCGCGGCCTCTTGGCTTCTTCTTCTTGTCTTGCTTTGCCACTTTAGGCGTTTGGCCCCTCACCTTCCCGGCACGTGCCAGCGATCCGTGCACCTTACCTGCATGTAATCACAATCACAAACCCATCGCGCCAGCATTTATTCATATATGCAACCTACGAAAGAAAACTAAAAGCGAGAAATTGGCCGCTAAATGGTTACCCATGGATTATGGACTTTTAGGGTTCTTCTTCCTCTGCTCTGAACAAACTGGGGGAGAATCCTTACTGTCTATCTGGGGTTAGGGTTTCCTCGTCGCTTGATTGATAGTTTACTGCTTATCCGGCGTCGTTTTGTTTTTCTTTTTCAAAATATAAAAATAAAAAAATAAAGTAAAAATAGAAGTAAGAAAGGTGTCGTCTTCTCCATTCATCCAAACCTGACCTCACCCGGAAAAAAAATGATGGCCACCCCACAAAGCCATGGGTTCAGGCACCTGGCCAACGCTGGCCCGTGGCTCCGTGGTCGCGGCTGCACCTTCTCTATTGCCAGTCTTGCTTCTTCCTCTGCTTTCACTCAACACCCACAACAATCCCAATCCCAAGACAACAACAAGAGCGAGGAAAGCAGCAAAAAACATCAAGGCGTTGTTGACAGTAGAAGCACTGATAGCAAGTCGGGTTCGTACTTTCCCAAAAGAGGCCAAACTCTGGAGTTGGTTTGCGAGCGTTTGGCGTTCAAGGGAAAGGGTCTGTGCAAAGTGACAGACACTGGGTTTGTTGTCATGTGTGATCATGCACTCCCTGGTGAGCGCTTTATTGGACGCGTTACCCGCAGAAAGGGTAATTATGCTGAGGTTTGGTTCTATATTCTCTTCTGCTGGCTGTTTCATTTCTGTGTTTTACAGATAAAGAAAGGAAATGCTAAACGATGTTTGTGAAGTAGAGAAAGGGTCTAGAACCAGACTCCAGATGCAAATGGGCAATTTAATGAAGCATTTTAGAACTCGATTACTGAGGGTTATTGTATGCTTTTGGTATCGTATATTAATTTAGAATATAAGTACATTGACTAAACATATTGTAGGGATAGTGAATGAGTTGAGCAACAGGGTCTTAAGAGCTACCGAAAAGCTTTTTTCTTTTTTTTTTTTCTGGGTTGTGGAAAAGGAAATATTGTTGGAAAGAGGAGAGAAAAAATAACAATACCATTGCAGAAGAGGCAAGAGTTCTTCCCAATACCATTGCAGAAGAGGCAAGGACACCTCTAGAGAAGCCATGGTCTTTGTCAGAAAAAGAAGCAGAAAAAAACTAGTCTGCCCCAAAAGAAATGATAGTAAAATGAACCTTCAAAAGTCTAGCGTTCGTGCTCTAAACACAACACCTGCAACCCAGCAAATAGAGCTCATTTCCAAAGCACCTTATGATGTATGAAAAATTAGAGTTAGTTTAGCTACTTCAGGATTTTGGAGATAGTAACTTGCACATCAATATGGAATTCCTTAGATATTAAACCTCTGTATCACGCTTTAACAGTTTAACTATATAACATAGTTAGAAATTAAGAAAATTTTAGGGGGGAAAGCAATCATAACAATCTAGATAGAAAGGTGAGACTCTCTGTGGCATTACTAAGCTAGTCAAGATAGTTGTTGCTAGCTATGATAGTAAATTAGATCTTGAGGTCTTTCTAGATTGGCTAGTTAGCATGGAAAATTACTTTGACTAATATGGGATAAGTGACGTAGAAAGAGTTCAATTTGTTAAAACGAAATTGAGTGAGTCAGCTAGGAAGTTTTGACAAGTTGTCTAGCTAACCGAAGGCGTCTAGAGAGGCCTCCCTTAGCTTAGTGGCATATCGTGAAATAAAAGCTTAAAGAAAAGCACTTACCAACCTATCATAAGAGATAATTGGTTGACCAACTACTGATCTTAAAAAGTTGATCTCTAGTGTTAGTGACTACATGTACAGGTTTGAAGAGTTACAATTTAGGTGCGGTCTTCAAGAGGAATCCTATATCAATGTTAGTAGGTTTATCAATGGACTTAGGACAATTTTTTTTAAAGAAATATAATTAAGAAAGAGGAACGATACAAAAACAACGGATAAGATATCCAGCTGAAAAGACAACTAGCAAGAAGACAAAATAAAATGATAGATGATCACGTGTTGCATCCCAATTCCTATGGAAGGCAGTAAGGGAGATGTCAGAGAACTTTCCATGTGCCTTGACCCATAAGGAAGGCGGAAAATTTATTTTGTCCCATTATACTGTGTGCAGAAACGATCAGTTGTCAAATATTGGATTGTTTCTTTCTACCAAATTGTCCATAGCCCTGCAAACGAAGATCTTTTGCTGTCTTGGTTTCTTCCTTACCCCTATACCGTTAATATTGGATTTGATGAATCATTCCGATGTTAGAACAATCTTACTAGTGCAATCGTCAGCAAATGACATAAATCATTAGGTCCCAAAAATACTACATATGTGAGATGGTCCCCAAATAGCACTATGGATTAATGAAAGTGGAACTAAAATTTGTTTATAATAGAAAATATCACACACTTATGTTTTACAAACTCATTAATATCGCAGTGTAAATTTTCAAATTGCGAATTCTTAAATAATGTGAAGAGATAACATTTAAGATGGAGAAAGATGAGTGCTCAAATTTTTTATAGTGAAGGCAAATCTTGTATGTGAGGTTAGTAGTAATAGCAGATAAAGATCCCCTAGTTGCATCTAAGTAGTAGAATCCATTTTTGACTTTAGTACACTTAATTATTTTTTTCAAATTTTGGTCCTGAAAGTCACAAGAAGAAGAGCCAAATATTCTTTAAGAGTTCTAGTTTTATGATAATTTATTGACCAACACGTGATTATTAGAAAATTTGGGAATATGTAATATATTTTTTAGGTAGGGTTAAGTTTAATGTCGTCATTGCCCTGCAATAGTGTTGAAGGAACCATCTGTAGTGACAGTTTTTTTATTACTTAAATATAGAATATATGTGTAAAAATATTTAGAAATATTGATCATATGATATGTCACTCTTGAGTCTATAATTCAAGAATTTTAAAGGATTATCTAAGATATTTAGTTCTTGAAAGTAGAAGTCATACATAAGTGCGTTAGTAAATTGGTATCTGTTTGTTTCTGCAGGGACTCAATCGAGCCCTTAGTCTTTCAATCTCACTCTGTATTTACTACATCTAAGTTTCATATTGGATTGCTCTATAATTTGGTAACGTGAGAAAATATTGGTTTGCACTGAGTCAACTTAGATCACGAACTCACTAAGTCAACTCGAACCTAAGACTCACTGAGTAAACTGACGGGTTCTTTGCCTTTCAAGTATAGTGGTGCTGCAGATGGATCAAGGTCGGATTTGGTAGGTCATGAGCTAAGGTTGTGACAAACAGATTTGAGTCACAGCAGAGACAAGTTCCGTTGTTCGTTTCACCGAGTTAGGGCTTTGAGTCCCGTTTGGTTCACAATAGGGAGTTGTGTGACTAGGGATCTGCAGCTGATGTGAGCCTAGGGTTTTGACAAGGTTGTGTCAAAAGGTGTGGCGCAACTAGATGTGCGGTTGAAGGCGGTCGCGACTCAGGGATCCAGTGTGCAGGTGTATTGATGTGTTTGAGGCTAGGGTTTCTAGCAATGAAGGCTAAAGTAGGGGCTAGAGTCTGGCTGAACAGGGTGGCGCTCACAGAGTGACATGCGACTGGAGTCTAGCAGCTACAAGGATAAGAGAGCAAGGTTGTGGCCAATCTTATGGTGGCCAACGACTGGAAGTGATTATTGGAGCAGGGAACAGAGAGCAGTTATGAGCATGCCGTGGGTAGCTACGCACAGTTGGAATTTGAACGAGGGCGACGTACAGTTGTGGTGGGCTTGGATAGCAAGCTTGTGGTGCGCAGCAGTGGGCTGTGCACCTGGCCTTTTTTTTTTTACTCTCAGCTATGAAGGCCAGTGGTGGTTGTTGCGGTGGCCGACTATGAATGCTGACCCTTTTATGATTTTCTTTCTTTCGGCAATCAAGACTTAATGGAGTTTGTAAAAGATTAGGGTTTCTTAACCTAGGACTTTAATACTATGTTAAGAATATTTTTTTAATTGATTTACATTTTATTGAATATTACCACTTTAAATGATGTAAAACTCAGAATCAACAATATAATGCAAAACCATACAATTTTAATTAGGATTAGAAAACTTAATTTCTAAGTAAACTCTCCATATTTAACCCGCTATCAATATGTAATAGGAACTAAGGTAATTGGAAAAATTAAAGAATTGAAAAAATATCATAAGACTACTTTGATATGTTGAATCAATTTCTCGTTCAACGAGAAGGATGAAAAATATCGTACTTGTTGAAAGTTAAAAATTTTGTAATTTTATTATTCTGAAACTTGATATTTACAACTATGAATTAAATGTCTATTTATAGTTATAAGCCATGTGAATTATAAGGAAACAAATCTCCTATTTTAGTTGTAATAAAATATATAGAAAATTAAATCAAACTAAAGTAAGAATAAAATTAAATCAAAAAGATTATAACCATAATAGTATAGATGGGCCATCCCTTTGTGGAAACCTTTTAAATGGTGGAGATTTCATTAATTATAGCGGTATCTTCCTTTATAGACTTGAGATTTAATTTTCTCTTTTCTTGAAAGATTGTGATTGATTTAGGAAAATCTTGGAATTAATTGTTGATTCTCCCTTGGATGAGTGATCTTGTGATAAATGCTTTTGATGTTGGTTTCTTTATTTTAAGGATATGATTTTAGTTAGAAACATTGAAAAGAGGATATGATCTTGATTCTCGCTTGATGGATTCCCGAAATTCCTTGATTTTAGTTTTTTTTTTGCCATATGAGAGAGATATAGAGAAAAAAAGGAAACTTTCCTCATTGAGAGAAAAATCTCTCTTGAGTGGGAAAAAAATCCCTCAAGGGTAGGAAAGGAATTTTCTTCACTTCAGCTAAATGGACTTGTTCTCTTTCTTTATGGACTTCTACCTTTGGCCCAAGTCTTTCTTCTTCATGGATCCATCTTTTAATATAGACTTGAAAGTTTTCCTTGAATTTATTGGCCCATGTTATTGTGATACTCCATATATAAAGTCCAAATACATTTTGAATTAGATTCATCATAATCCTTTCTCCATATGAACCTTGCTTGGCTTGAACTGGATTTTTAAACTAACTTAAATGGATCAAACCATGAGCTCTTTGGCTTGAAGGTTCCAAGCAATCCATGCTTACATCACTATATATACAGGTTTTGTAAGACAGAAAAAGGAATAGACAATTAATTAGAATTTATTACAAGTGGTGTAATTTTACCCTTATACCCTTGAACCTGATTTGTTTCTCCTCTAACACCATAATTTACTTCCTTGTTGATACTCTGATTTGCCTCATTTTTAACACCTTGATTTACTTCTTCTTTAACACTATGTTGTCTAAAAACTAATTTTGGAAAGGGAACTTTATCCAAAAGGAACACTAAGTTAGTCATTGAGGCACACATTGGTGCAAATTATGTAAGCTCATTGATAAAGGATCTACTATGGATTATCGTAATTTTCTTGGAGGCAATCTTGTTGCTTGGAGGAGTAAGAAGCAGAAAATGATCGCTAGATCAAGTGCAGAGGCAGAGTTCGAGGCATGACATAAAGAGCGTTTAAATTTTTATGGCTCAAGATAACTTTGAAATCTAAGGTTCAGATGGAAAGGACCGATAAGATTATTTTGCGGTAACAAGTCTGCCATTGACATTATTTAGAATCATGTGTAATATGACAAAACAAAGCATATTGAAGCAGATAGAACATTTATAAAGGAAAAGTTGGATAGTGAATTAGTTTGTACTCGTGTACTTACAAAATGACTTAGTTGTGCAATGTTCCAAGAACTTAACTCGAAGCTTGAAGTAAATGGTGCATATTCACCAACTTGAAGAGGAGTATTGGAAAATCTCTCAATATTTTTTTAACATTATGAAATAAATCTTCCTAAAATATAGGATACCGATTAGGTAATCCTAGTAATATGGAGATTTGGTTTGATATGATTTTATTTATTTTATTTGCTGTAGTTAATTTGATATTTTTTTCTTTGTGAAAGCTTTATGTACCCTGTATATGCTCATTCTCAATTTACAAGAAATTCAATTTATCTCTAAATTCTAAATTGTTAGTGAAGACATTTCAGAGCTTGACATATAATGTGTTTTTGCCTGGAATTATAGTCTTTTCTTATGAGGTTTTTCATTTTTCCACATAACACATTGTTGCCTTGAATTATAATCCTCTGGTGCAAGGTATTTTCTATTGTTTCCATTTCAGCTGTAAATCTCATGGCACCTAAGTGAGGATGATAGTTATGTATTGTTAACTTGGCATTCCTTCTGTTGATAGTAGGTGGATAAAAGGATCAAACTTATCATAATATGAGTGCATGTGTATATCTTCATTCCATCTTCTTTTCTTTTTCATTTGTGTGTTTTTACTTATTGCCTTTGGGCAGTGGGTCATTTCTTCTCTACCTTCATCTGCAAACATGCCTTCTTTTAGTTTTCTTGTTAATTCTTTTTTTTTTTTCATCTGCAGGTAAATAAGGTGAAAACGTTATCTCCTCATTGGGATATAGTAAATGCTCCTTGTGAGTATGCTGCATATTGTGGTGGTTGTAAAACTCAAAATCTGGCTTATAAGGCTCAGCTCAGAGCTAAGGAACAACAAGTGCATGAATTGGTTATTCATGTTGGAAAATTCTCTGATAAAGATCCAGAATTTAGCAGCATCATGAAGCCTATAGTCGCATGTGATATGCAATTTCATTATCGAAATAAGGTTAGTTTATGAATAAAAATTTTTTTATAATTGACTAAGTAAATAGCAACTCATGTGACAATGCTAATAGTTCTTTTTCCCACGCTTCTTAAAGTAGAAACCATGTTAGATGATTTGACCTCTGTTTGGTATGAGATTTTTATCAGATTAATGGAATATCTGAAAAAGAGAGGATGCAATGCATTTCCAATACAAAGAATAATTAACTAAAACTTTTGGTGGTTTTGTTTCTTCACGCCAGATGGAGTTCTCTTTTGGTCCTCAAAGATGGCTACCAAAAGAACTATTAAATGAAAAGCAGGATACTAATGAGAACTACGCATTAGGTCTGCATGCACCTGGATTTTTTGACAAGGTTCTTAATGTCAACAAGTGCTTATTACAAAGTGATCCTGCAAATATGGTATGCTGTTTCATTATCAATTTTAGTATGTTCTTTGAAAATTTGTAATTAAATTATCTTTTTATTGAATTTTTATTAATGATACTTACTTTATAACAGCTGAATAAATATAAAAGAAGATTAGAGAAAATTTAAATAAGAAACTAAATACAAATCAGTTCTAAAAAAGGAGAAGATCTTCT